CCTTTTCACGCTGCCCGGAACCAAGTCTAGCGTCGACCTCGTCGCCACCTCGAGGGAAGAAGTTCTTGTCCTTTACCGCCAAGGGCTGGCTCGAGTATGCGATATCAAGTCTCGCGAGCTACGCCGGAGTATGGATCGCAGGACAGCCGAGAGCGTCGTCGCTGACGGGGATTGGCACATCTGGTACGACACGAGGCAGTGGCTGACAGTGCTCGCTGCTGACATTTGTTGTCTTTGCACAGGTTCCGGGCCGAAAAGGCGATCCGACTGGCAGCGCCCACCGGTCTCGGCAGTGAGTGATGCAGCTGATCCGGAGATGAAGAGTCGCGCTTACCCTGGCTCCTCTACACAGACCTGCTGCGGTTGGACTTGCGTGTGTGGCTGGAAGAAGCTGCGCAGCAAGTCCCATGGACCAACGGCAAGAACGGCAAGGTCCGAAATGACGACAGCGGGTCCGCTTCACCTGTGGTCAGCTCGTCGCAAGACTTCGACAAAGATACCGTACTAGCTCCCCAGGATTCGCGACAAGGCGCGCGACGGCTCCTGTCGATGCTCTGCCGGACGATGCGTGATGAGAGCCTTTGGGCGCTCCTGAGCGAACTCGATGTCGAGCGAAAGGCGGAGGAGCAGACGCTCGGCTTGCACAGGTTCGTCGAGTCCTGCTCCGGTCTCCTGTCAAATCTCCTGACAGTCTTTTTTGCACATGCAGTCGACATGCTACCTCGCTCGGACGGACGGATGCATCGAGTATCTGGACCACCTCGCCAACCGTCACGACTCAGCACCTGCTACAGATTGTTTGTCTGCTGCGCGTCTTTCTGAACTACCCAGGTCAGCCCTCCCGATCCTCGTTCGCTTCTGGACAGACTTCTCATTTTGTGCCGATGCAGACACGGAGAGACCGGCTTCCGAGGCGATCCTCTACTTTGCCTCGTGTTTGGCCGACTCTGTCGGACCGGAGTTTGCGCCGCCCTCCCTTGAGATTCTGGCCAGCTTCTGGCTCGATCGAAGTGGTTCGTCACTTTAGGTTTGCCTGAGCCCGGATCAAACAGTTGACAGCGCTTCCTCGCCCAGTCGAACTGCATCAAGCCGCTCGGACCTTGTTCGGGACATATCTGGCGGCGACTGCTGACGCGGACATTCAGACGCTTGTCGAAACGTGGGCGCCCCGATGTACGTGTCTTACCTCGAATTCTTCGGCGATAAGGGCACGTCTGATAGAGCTCCTTCCGCAGTGCCTGTATCGCAGGCGGGTGCCGGCGTCATGCACCACCGCGCGGATCATGCGCTATTGCTCCTCGGTCTCGTTGCTATCGATCGCATGCTGTTGCTGTCGGCGCCGTGAGTCTCGCCGTTTTCTGTGTCGCCCCAAGGGATGTGCTGAAACGACTTCCCGTTCTCTAGGCTTCTCAAAGAAATCGCTACCTCGATCGAGCGATACCTGCACGACTCGACGCAACCGTACCACCAAGCTGTCGCCACCGAGCTCTGCTCCCGAGGCTTCGCTACGTGGCAGAACTATGTCGACGCCATGTCATTGACCCGCCAGCTCTTTGCCATCGCTATCGGATCTGACCCGAATACCTCGAACGACCTGCGCCTCCTCGCCCGCAATGCCACGCTCCACGTCGCCGGCGTCAATACCCCTCTCCTGATGACTACCCTTCTCTTCGATATCCTCAATACCCCGGACGCCGTCACTCGCAACGCAACCTTGAAACTTCTCGGCTTCATGATCCGCAAAGTCGGTCGACGCTCCCCGTTGTCTCATGTCTGCCACCATGACCGCTGACCGTCTCCTTTGACCCGCAGAAACCTCTCGTCATCTACACCAACTTGCCGCGCGTCGTAGACGCAGTAGTCAAGTGCCTCGATCCGGCAGTGTCCTCGTTGCGCGAAACCGTACAGCAGGCTGCGACGGTGATCCTCAACGAGCTCGTCAGAACGTGCGTATCTCGCGGTCTTAGAACAAAGTTTGACATGGCGATAGCGCTTCGTCAACTGACACTCGGAGACTTCGGACAGCTATCCTTCCGTCGACTTTCACGGCAAATCGCAGCGTATCGCGGTCGGCACTCACGAAGGGGCAGCGGTAGTTTACGACCTCAAGACTGCGACCCGTCTCTACGTTCTCGAGAGCCACAGTCGACCAGTTACCGCGCTGTCATGGTCGCCGGACGGCCACCGACTTGTGACGACATCTCTCGACGAGAGTCGCGTCGTCGCGTGGCGCGTCAGCGGTGGGCTGTTTGGCATGTTCATGCCAGGTGCGCCTCCGCGCGCAGGCAGTTCAGCGCAAGCCACTCCGTACAAGACGTACGACTTCCATGTCGGTGATGAAGGTAAGCTTGCCCGTCCGGATTTTCAGTACCCCCCAGCTTGCGATTGACCCTCTTTCCCGCGCTCCAGCTCTGATGACTACTGCTGCGACTCTCGAGTGGGTCGCCTTTGACTGGCCTGCCGAGCGAACCGTCAGACTTCGCATTCGGGAAACCGCGCTCAACTTTGGCGTGTAAGCTCTCGTGATGCAATCTCTCTTCTCCAACAATCGTGTTCAAGCGGTAGAGAGATAATATGACAGCGAGCTATTGTTCGAACCACTCAACCTTCCCAGTCCTTGACAGCTTGCTCGATCTTGGGACGCCAGAACTTGCGAGAGGCGTCAGCCGACTGGTACTGGTAGACGGCCCGGCGCGCCAGCAAGGGCTTCTTGTCCGGACGGCGCCACTTTTCGAGGTTCTTGATACCAGAAGATTCGATCGCGTGCTTGAGCTGCTTGAAGAGGCGATCCGCCGACCTGCATTCAACTGAAAGCCTCAGCGAGGGGAGGGCTTCGCCGGGGGCTGATCAGCGGACCGGACTCACCCAGCATGCAGGCGGCGACCGTATCCGTGCGCGACGACGAGCGCAATCTGACGGTACTTCTCGCCAGTCTTCTTGTCGCGGAAGTTGGTCAGGGCGACCGTGACGTCAGCTTGAATTTCGGAAGTCCAGGCTGTGGAGCGGGCGAGATGGTCAGCAAGAACAAGGCCGTGGGTTTCGGCAAAACGAGCGCACCTCGCTCGATCGCTGCACGGCGCCATCAAGTCGGGATGGTCAGCTGTCCGTGAAGTCGTTGGTGCTCTAGGAGGACTGTCACATACCGAACCATTCTGGAACGGTCTGTTCCGGCGTGCGCTCGATCTGCTCTTCGAACGAGACGGGTGCCGATGCGAAGCCAATGGAGATGGACGGGTACTTCTTGGACTTGGTGGCAATGCTGCGTGCAGAGTCGGAAGTCAGCGAAGGTGCGAGGAAGCTGGGCAACAAATTCTCGTACCTGTCGCCCTTCCAGTCGCGACGCAGCTGCGGAAGGTTTCGGCACGACATTCAGTTCCAGTCCAGTCCGGCAGGCGTAGCGAAAAGTCGACAATCATCCTCACCAGACTGCGCAAGTCGAGACCGCCGAGGGCTTTGCGAGATTGGGTCATGTCGTCGTCGAGAATGCCCATGACATCCTTCATCTTGCGGTGCTTCCACGAGCTGCGCGGGAACAGGCGCGAAACAGCATCCATGTCGACCTGACGGGACGAGTCACGTTTGAGCGCATCGCTGTCGATGGCGACTGTGCGCAGAAGTACTGCAAGTCAGCGGGCGGATCGGCCTGCAAGCGAAGAGCGTCGGCCAAAACTGACTCGTGCGGAGGATCAACTCGATGAGTTCTTTCGGCAACGGTCCATGCATCGTCGCGTCGCTCTCTTCAGCCGCCGGAGGGTCATCGAGGTCGTAGGTCGGCATCGGGTACGCCGTACTCGCGCCTGGCAGCGTTTCGAGCAGGTAGTCCGTCACCAGAGACGAGCAAGACCCCGCCGCCTCGACGATACGGGGATCGGCTGTGCGGTTCGCGACACCGCGATCATCGTGGTGGTCTGGGGAAGCAGAGCCTCGTGAGTGAACGGTTCTTCGGTTCGCAGCTGCCCGAGAACAAGCCGCACCGATGATCGCCACAATCTCTGCCTTGTCCCACATAGAACGCGGGACGTTGTGGTCGACGAGAGCGATGCCCTTGATTCGATGCCAGAGGTCGTTGGGCTGGAAGGCCGAGTGTCAGCTTGCCCGTCTCGCGAGGTCCGGAGAAAAAGGACGTCGAAGCTCACCTTGATCGGAAGTTCGTCAATGGCTGTGGACGCAGAAGATCAGCGGTGGCCGGCAATTTACAGATGTACAGTACGGCAGATACATACTCAGGAGATCGCGATGTCCGGAACTCATGCGCGCGTAGTGCAGTGCGAGCGCATTCTCCGGTCGCAAGTCGAGAGCGTCTGTAGCCGAGCCATCCCGAGAGGGTCGACGTCCTCTTCGCGAGCAAGCGGGCCAGCCAAAGTGAGCACGCACCTTGTTCGGTCTGCAAGAGCGCGACAGCCTTCTGGGGAGTCTCGAGATGGTTGTACAGGTACGAGAGCGTGAGGGCGGAAACGAGACTGTCCAGGTCTCCCGCCTCGTTGCCCATGACGATGACCCAGTCGTCGGCATCGTTGTTGCGGAGCGCCTCGAGGAACTCTTCCTGTAGTCGTTTCAGAGCGCTCGTCAGACGAGAATGCGCTTTCATCGCTCGATGCTGAACTATGACGACGGACCTTGTTCTGCCTGCTCCACTGGCTCAGATGGCCTGTACCGGTCGGTTCTTGGTCACCGCCATCTTGAATAGCACCGTAAGACTGCTGATCGAGTCGCCCGTCGTCCGCTGTCGTGGGTTGGAACTGACTGTAATCGGCGTCGAGGACTGATTGCACGTTCGGGTCGTCAAAAGTCACGACGGCGCGCTCGACGGGAGTCGCAGAGACGCCCGCAACAGTCAGAGCTGCGACAACCGCGAGCAGCGACTGCCAATGCATAGAGTCGCGATGAGGAGCGGTGAACAGTGCAACAGCGCATGCACGTGAGACTCGAAGATCCCGAACGCGGATGGCGCACGGTTTTAACGTATGTATATGCAAGACTGGACCGGGCCTCTTCAAGGTGGGGGTGTGGTATAGTGGCATTACGTTCCTTTCGCACTTGTGTGATTAGGAAAGGTCCGGGGTTCAATTCCCCGCTCCTCCAAACCCTTCTTTTTTCCCTTTTGTCGCTCTAGGCCTTTGACCGTCAAAGTCCCTACTTTTACTAAAATGGCCTGCTCGCGTGTGTTCGGATCTCGTGTCCTGAAGCTGCGCAAGGATGGGACGAGTCCGGCCGGAACCGTGCGGCGCGCATCTTCTGGCAAGAAAGGGGAACGGAAGCGAAGACCCACGCCGGAAAATTGATTCAAGCACGAGGAGTACAGACTACCAAACCACGCTCCTTTGCGAAACTCGTGATGTACTCTCCGGGTACTTTCTGTAGATGCTCGGGGTGGAAAGTAGAACGTTCCGTCCATCGCCGATTCGCGACGCGATTTTTCAACCTCGTGTCCTTCGACCGCGTTGACCGACGACGCTTGGGCAAGTAGCATCTGTGAAGAGAGGTCGCAATTTGTAAGTGAAATCCAGGGGGCAGAGGGAAGTCACCCGGTTATCTGTATCCTGGTCACGATGTACAATGTCAGAGCTCAGTCAAGCACTCACCTTCCGACGCGAGGCGCATCTCGCCGTCTTTTTTCCAAGCCAAGTGCAGCTCTCCTTTGGATCATCGCTCGTCGAGTTCGTCGACCCTGTTTTCTCGTCCTCCGGCGACTCTGCTTGACCGGCAGTGCGAGCATTGACAGTGTCCGCAGCTTCGACCCTCGCCGGCAGCGGCACACCCGTGAGACGACAGAGCTTGATCGCGCAGGCATTCCCATACGGCGTGGGGGCATCTCCCAGCCCGAACGGGCCGCCGTGCTGGGCGCGTACTGTAGTTGGTTCCCTTCGGCGCTCTTTCCGCTTGTGGTTGCCTTCGCTTGTGATTGATTTGCTTTCTCAATCAGACTCGTCTGCGGTCACACTTCCCTCCGTTGCTTGCATCCACTCTAGAGCAGGCGCCCATAGACACAGGCCGACTCTGACTTTCTGACTTGACCTGACGAGCACGGACGATGCAGCCAGAGAGCGCTCTCTTCTCTCTGAAGTCAAGATCGAACGGATGCGAAGCACGAGGACATATTACAGGGGGTGATCCCGCACTACTACTCTAGGGAATTCATGTCGGTGGTGAGAAAATGCACAGAAAAAGCGGGAGGTTTTCGAGTCCGTTCGGGCGCACGCGCGAGTCGTTTAGTCGATCTCCTCGACCGACGGCTCGTCGGCACCAGCGCCCGGAGCAGCGCCACCCGGCATGCCACCGGCGCCCGGCATGCCACCCGGCGCACCACCGGCAGCCGCGTAGACCTTCTGCATGATCGGGTTCGCGATGCCCTCGAGCTCCTTCTGCTTCTCCTCGTACTCGTCCTTGGACGCCTCGGCCGACGCGTCGAGCCACGAGACGGTCTCGGAGATGGCCTTGTCGAGGGTCTCCTTGTCCGAAGCCTCGATCTTGTCCTTCAGGTCGCCGTCGATCGAGTTGCGGAGCGAGTAGGCGTAAGACTCGAGTCCGTTCTTCGCAGCGATACGTGCAGCCTCGGCAGCGTCCTCCTCTTTGTACTTCTCAGCCTCAGAGACCATGCGCTCAATCTCCTCCTTGGAGAGACGGCCCTTGTCCTGTGGGAGCGAAGGAAAAAAACGTCAGTGATCGGTTCCAAAAGTTGGGCCGAGACCACGCCAACCCCTGCCGATGATTCTGGACACTGTAGAGACTGGTTTACGCACGTTGGTGATCGTGATTTTGTTGCTCTTGCCGGTGGTCTTGTCCGAGGCGGAGACGTTGAGGATACCGTTGGCGTCTGCAAGTTCGGAAAAGTCAGTAACCCGTGGCAACACGCAACTCCGGACCGCAGGCTACGACAGTCCATCGCGTAGACTGCCCATCGTGTAGACAAGGGGATAAGAGGGCCGCTAAACTCACCGATGTCGAAGACGACCTCGATCTGGGGGACACCACGGGGCGCGGGGGGGATGCCCGAGAGCTCGAACTTTCCGAGGAGGTTGTTGTCCTTGGTGCGGGCACGCTCGCCCTCGTAGACCTGGATGAGGACGCCCGGCTGGTTGTCGGCGTAGGTCGAGAAGGTCTCGGACTTCTTGGTCGGGACGGTCGTGTTGCGGGGGATGAGCTTGGTCATGACACCGCCGGCGGTCTCGATACCGGTCGAGAGCGGGGCGACGTCGAGGAGGAGGAGGTCCTGGGTCTTCTCGGACGTGTCGCCGGTGAGGATGGCGGCCTGGACGGCGGCGCCGTACGCGACGGCCTCGTCCGGGTTGATCGACTTGTTGGGCTCCTTGCCGTTGAAAAAATCCGAGACGAGCTTCTGGACACGCGGGATACGGGTCGAACCGCCGACGAGGACAATCTCGTTGACCGACTGCTTGTCGATCTTCGAGTCGCGGAGGACCTTCTCGACCGGCTCCATGGTGCCGCGGAACAAGTCGGCGCAGAGCTCCTCGAAACGGGCACGGGTGATCGAGGTGTAGAAGTCGATGCCCTCGAAGAGCGAGTCGATCTCGATAGTGGTCTGGGCGGCCGACGACAGGGTGCGCTTGGCGCGCTCGCAGGCGGTGCGGAGACGGCGGAGGGCGCGGGCGTTGGACGTGAGGTCCTTCTTGTTCTTGCGCTTGAACTCGGCGCAGAAGTGGGTGACGAGGCGGTTGTCAAAGTCCTCACCGCCGAGGTGGGTGTCACCGGCGGTGGCCTTGACCTCGAAGATGCCCTCCTCGATCGTGAGGAGCGAGACGTCGAACGTGCCGCCGCCCAAGTCGAAAATGAGGACGTTCTTCTCGCCCTCGGACTTCTTGTCGAGGCCGTACGCGATCGCGGCGGCGGTCGGCTCGTTGATGATGCGGAGGACGTTGAGGCCCGAGATGGTACCGGCGTCCTTGGTCGCCTGACGCTGCGAGTCGTTGAAGTAGGCCGGGACGGTGACGACGGCGTTGCTGACCGTGCCTCCGAGGTATGCCTCGGCCGTCTCCTTCATCTTGAGGAGGACCATCGACGAGATCTCCTCCGGGGTGAACTCCTTGGTCTCGCCCTTGTACTCGACCTGGATGATCGGCTTGGTCGCCTTGTCGATGATCTTGAACGGCCAGTCTGTGTACACGGTGTCCTAGTCAGTTTCCGAAGGGAGGGCGGGCGGCGAAGGGGATGCAGAGGGGCCGGGGAAGGGACACTCACGCTTCATGTCGGCCTGGACCTCGGCGTCACCAAACTTGCGACCGATGAGACGCTTGGCATCAAAGACGGTGCTGTTGAGGAGGGGTGGTGTCAGTACCGTGTGCGGGACTGTACAGGGAGAGGGGAGAAAAGAACTCACTTGTGCGGGTTCATGGCGACCTGGTTCTTGGCGGCATCACCGATGAGACGCTCCGTGTCGCTGCAGGAGGGCCGAAATCAGCACGCTGTATCTAGTGCGAGAGTATACAAGGTGCAAGGACTCACGTAAAGGCGACGTAGGAGGGCGTGGTGCGGTTGCCTTGGTCCTGGAAGGTGATGGAAGCAACGGGTCTTGAGTTCGGCGTTCGAGCGAGCGGAGTGCTCTCAGGTGTGTAGACTCACGTTGGCGATAATCTCGACACGGTCGTTCTGCCAGACACCGACGCACGAGTACGTCGTGCCGAGATCGATACTGTGTACACGCGGGAGAGTGAGCAACCTGCTTGCTGGTGACCTCACTCGACGAGGGAGACGACGTACCCGACAGCCTTGGTGGTCATTGTTAAGCGAGTTGTGCTTGGAGTGGGAGTGGGTGCAAAAGTGTTCGCTTGAAAAGGGTACCTAGCAACTGTAGGATTTAGTGGAGGAAGAGAGAGAAAAAGGAGCTGAAGTCCGCCCCGCCTCAAAGCTGGCGCCCGACGTTGCGAAGGCTCCGAGAACATTCCGTCGTCATTGTCTCGACCTTCTCTGACACTCTTTCACGCTCGATACAGCTCGACACGGCACCCCCTGCAGACGCAGCCGAGCTCTATGGCTTTCCCTCCGCTTCGACACTCGACCACCGGCCTCTGCATCCTTCTCTTCATACGCGCGTGCTCTCTCTCGTCGGGTTTCCACGTGCTTCCATCCAGCTTTTGCCACTAGCCGCCCTCTTTCTGCGCTCTCCGTCCTCGATGCAGCTCCCGAATCTCTCTGTTTGGCCATCCTGCATAGCCTCCTGCCGCGGTCAAACTCTCCGTGCACAGCAACAGGACTTGCTCTTTGAAACTGCTCCATTTACAACAACAGCTCGCCCGCTTACGTCCGCTCGGCGTTGTCAAGCTCTGCACACATACACGCCTCGCTTGCGCCACAGCTGCAAAACCCTGCACCGTCTAAAAAGACAGGAGGAGCGATTCGGTCCTTAAAAAAGCCACAGCGTCTCGACGTCGCCACTCTGCGTCACCTCGCACGCCACACCGCTCGAGAAGCCGTAAATCTCTGATTGGCGTGCACACGAGCGGTTCCCCCATTCCCAAAGCCCCCCAAAGGGTCAGCTCATTGGTCATAAGGGACGCGAGATTGAAGCCACCCGGGAACGGACAAGGACAAGGGGAGAGGAGAGAGAGAGTGGCGCGTACCGGTTGATGGACCGCGGATGCCCGAATCTGTCTGTTGCTGTTGCGCTCCTTCGCTTCCCGAACCGTGACCAGTCGTCGAGTGCATGGGTCCACCGCCAGCGCTCGAAAGGAACGCCGTCCGATCCAGCTCGATAGGTCGTTCGTCCTCTCCCGCTCCTCCTCCTTCTCCTCCTCCTCGCAAATACTCCCGAACCGCTTCGAACCCGCATTCGACTCCTACTCCAACTTCGCCTCCAAGCTCGGCGTCGGCGTCGACAGAAGTAGTAGCTGCAGTAGGAGCGGGACTCCTTTGCCGCCGCCGCCTCCGGACGATCGTCCACAGCGCCCTCGCCGTCCTTCCGAATTGGACTTGGCCCGGCGTGTTCGAATGCAAGATGACCTTTTCGAGCAGGTGCGACGACGGCGAGATGAGCAAAGTGAGCCCGAGGTGAGGGTACGAGAGAAAGTACGGGTTGGCTGCTTTGCGGTCCAAGGCGTGAGGTATGGCGGAGGAGATCGGAACATGTA